GATTTGCAACTCACCTTGATACGTGCAAGACATACCTGAAGACAGCTGTCAGAGGGCATAAGGGTGGAGCCTGTGTTCTTCCATGGAAGCAGTCTCTGGGTTCAGCCTAATTCTATTGTAAATCCAAGAGTGGAGTGGGGGCTGCTGGAGCGATGGCTCAGCAATTAAGAGCAGTGGCTGCTCTTCCAGAGGTTCTGAGTTCAATTCCCAGCACCCACGTGATGGCTCACAAAAATCTGTACAATTGATATGCAAGCAAAACACCCATACACATAAAATTTTTTTTGGTTTTTTGAGACAGAGTATCTCTGTGTAGTCCTGGCTATCCTGGAACTCATTCTGTAGACCAGGCTGACTTCAGACTCTGAGATCCTCCTACCTCTGCCTTCCCTCCCAAGTACTGGGATTAAAAGCATGCACCACCACTGCCCGACATAAAATAATTTAAAAAGAAATTGAAAATGGAATGGTGGTGAGCTTTGATTTGTTAAAGGAAGCCTTGGGGTCAGCAAAGTAGTTGAGCATGTAAAAGGTAAAAAGGTGTTTGCCACCAAACCTGATGACCTGGGTTCGATCCCCAGATCGGATCATGGGGTGAGAGGAGAAACCCAACTCCTGGAAGTTGTCTTCTGACCTCCACGTGTGCACTGTGGCATGTACATACATGCCCCCAATAAGTAAAAAAAATGTAAAGGGGGGCTGGAGTAACAATTTTGGAAAAGAATAGCTGGGTGGGGGCTAGGTGGACTTCTGTCCATATCCAAGTGCTGAGTATCGGGGAAATAATTACCCTGGTGACTGATAGGGAAACAGACGACAGACTAATGACGCAAAAGAGTCGAGAAAGGGCACACTGACTCATGGATAAGGTGCAAAGAGGCTGGGCCATGAGAAAATGGGTCACCAGTCCAGAACTAACACAGGTGGCCCTCAGCTTCATGCTCAAAGAGTAAACACAGAAGATGAAGGGCAGGAATAGGGTGATGAGCGACAGAACTTTCCAGAAGATGTGCCTTGCCTAGTGCGGACCCATGTGTCAGCCCCTCTAAGCATATAAGGTAAAGGGGGGGCTAGGAGGAGAGCTGAGCTGAGCAGCCGCAAGAACCTGACTTCAGATCCCAGCACTCACTTCCCAAAGCTGGGCATTGCTCACACCTACCTTTAACACCACTGCTCTTGGGATCAGAGGCAGGGGGATTGCTGGGGCTGGCTGCTGTTAGTACAGCCTGAGCACATGAGCTCAGAGCTCAGGGAGGGACCCTGCCTTTGAGGAACAGGGTAGAGGTGGAAGAGGAGGACACACAACAGTTTTCTCTGGAAGAGCATAGGCACACACGTGTGTGAGTACATACACCACACACATATGCAACATATCCACACACAGAGCAAAATAAAACCCTAAAGACATAAAAGATAAAGATACTTCTTTTGTAATAGAGTGGAGGAGAAACAAGAACCTTTAAAGGAAATGATTGATAAATTTGACTGTAAAAACGAATATTTTCTCAATAGGGGAAAAAAAACCACTGGGGACAAGAGTACATAACACAGAACTGCAAGGAACCAATAAAAATGCCAGGTGGTGGTATTGGCATAAGAACAGACAAGAGGACCCATGGACTCAAATTGAAGACCAGATATTAATCCACACAACTTCAAACACCTGATTTTTGACAAAGAAGCAAAAAACATCAAATGGAAAAAAGAAAACATATTTAACAAATGGTGCTGGCATAACTGGATATCAACATGTAGAAAAATGAAAATAGACCCATATCTATCACCATGCACAAAACTCAGGTCCAAATGGATAAAAGACCTCAACATAAAGCCAGCCACACTGGACCTCATGGAAGAGAAAGTGGGAAGTACACTTGAACACTTTGGCAGAGGAGACCACTTCCTAACTATAACCCCAGTGGCACAGACACCGAAATAAACAATAAATGGGACCTCCTGAAACTGAAAAGCTTCTGTAAAGCAAAAGACATGGTCAATAAAACAAAATGACAGCTTACAGAATGGGAAAAGATCTTCATTAACCCCACATCAGACAGAGGTCTGATCTCTAATACAAAGAACTCAAGAAATTGATTATCAAAAGAACAAATAATCCAATAAAACAATGGAGTACAAACCTAAACAGAGGAATTTTAAATGGCTGAAAGACACTTAAGGGAATGCTCAACATCCTTAGTCATCGGAGAAATGCAAATCAAAACAACTCTGAGATTCCATCTTACATCTGTAAGAATGGCCAAGATCAAAAACACTGATGACAACTTATACTGGATAGATTGTGGGGAAAGGGAGCACTTCTGCATTGCTGGTGGGAATGCAGACTGGTACAACCCCTTTGCATGTCAGTGTGGTGACTTCTCAGAAAATTAGGAAACAACCTTCCTCAAGATCCAGCTTTTGGGTATATATCCAAAGGATGCTCAATTGTGCCACAAGGACATGTGCTCAACTATGTTCGTAGCAGCATTGTTTGTCATAGCCAGAATCTGGAAATAACCTAAATGCCCCTTGACCAAAGAATGGATAAGGAAAATGTGGTACATTTACACAATGGAGTACTACACAGCAATAAATAAATAAATAAATAAATAACATCTTGAAATTTTCAGGCAAATGGATGGAGTTAGAAAACATCATATTGAGTGAGGTAATTCAGACCCAGAAAGACAATTATCATATGTACTCACTCATAAGTGGTTTTTTTTTAATTAATTTATTTTATTATTATGTATACAACATTCTGTCCGTCTGTATGTCTGCAGGCCAGAAGAGGGCACCAGACCTCATTACAGATGGCCGTGAGCCACCATGTGGTTGCTGGGAATTGAACTCAGGACCCTCGGAAGAGCAGGCAATGCTCCCAACCACTGAGCCACCTCTCCAGCCCCATAAGTGGTTTTTAAACATAAAGCAAAGAAAACCAGCCTACAAATCACAATCCTAGAGAACCTAGACAACAATGAGAACCCTAAGAGAGACATAAATAGATCTAATCTACATGGGAAATAGAAAAAGACAAGATCTCCTGAGTAAATTGGGAGCATGGGGACCTTGGGAGAGGGTTAAAGGGGAGGGGAAAGGCAGGGAGGGGAGCAAAGAAAAATGTAGAACTCAGTAAAAAATCAATTTTAAAAAAAAAGCCAGGCGGTGGAGGCACACGCCTTTAGTTCCAAAGCCAGGGGCAGATGGAACTCTGTGAGTTTGAGGCCAGCCTGGTCTACGAAGCAAGTTCCAGGACAGCCAGGGCTGCACCTTAAGACCTTGTCAATAATAGCAATAATATGCTTTTTAAAGACAAGCAGACCAGGTGTGGTGCTACACATCTGGAATCCCAGCACTTGGGAGGCTGAAGCAGGAGGACCATGAATTTGAGACCAGGTCAGAGAGGGTGAGAGCATAGTGTGTCACTGATGGGACAGTGTGATGTTACACTGAAGTGTGCAAGAGTGCCTTCAGGGCCTGGGGCGATGGCCAAGAGGGTAAGAGCCCTGGCTGCTCTTGCAGAGGACCTTGGTTCAATGCCCAGCACTCACATGGCTGCTTAGAGCATCTGTAACTTCAGTATCAGGGGATCCGATGCCCTCTTCTGGCCATGTTGGGCACCAGACATGCATGTGGTGCACAGACATACATATAAATAACACACTCATATATGTAAAATAAATAATACATTTTTTTTTCAAGACAGGGTTTCTCTGGAGCTTTGGAGCCTGTCCTGGAACTTGCTTTGTAGACCAGGCTGGCCTCGAACTCACAGAAATCTGCCTGTCTCTGCCTCACAAGTGCTGGGATTAAAGGTGTGTGTCACCACCACACAGCAAATAATACAAATTTTTAGATAGCCAATTGGAAGTCATTTAAAACAAAAGCCCCAGACGCCTCCAGCCATCGCCAGCAGGCCAGCTGTGCAGCATTGTGGGTGTAGTCCCTCTGGCTGCCCCAGGAGGCTCCTCCCTCTGCTCCTGCCTGCGTGACAAGTGAGCTGACCCTTTGGGACTGAACTCTGTCCCTGGTCAGCCAGGCGGCTGGGCTTGCTCTGGTCACAGAGAAGAGACTATTCTTCTGTGGGAGCTGAATGGTAGGCATCCCTCCAAGAGCACATGCTCCCTGGTGTGGCTGACTCTTCTCGGCTGTTGCGGCCATCTCCATCTCTGCTTCCAGAGAACACTTGAGAATACAGTTGTCCTGCAGGCTTAAACCCTACCCCGGGGCTCGGGGATCTATGCCCCTTTCTTGCCTTTGCCATCTGGGCCACTGGAAAGGCAACAGGAGTGGAGGGTTCTGATCTAGTTGCATAGAACTCAGCCACCTGTGTCAGCCTGGTGAGCTGGGGGTTCTTCAGGGAACCTCATCTGCGATCTCAAACTTCCCCCGCTTGTCTGTCCCTCTCTCTGTCTCCCCCCCTCCCTTCCCCCTCTTCTTTTTTTGTCCCTGTCTCCAGCCCTGGGAACAGTGTCTTTCTTGGCATAGGGCTTGACATGAGCCTGGCACACACCTAGATCTGGCCCATGTCAGCCTCTGGCAGGAAGGTCATCAGAGCGGTGTTCTGGTCTTCCAGACCTCAGTGTGTACAGGGACAGCTCCAAGCAGGCCTACACAGTAAATGCATGATTTTTTTTAAACGGGGGTTGATTGGGAATCTTTTTCAGATGCCTCCCGGCCTTACCAACAGGCTGTGTGTCTGTGTGTGTGTGTGTGTCTGTGTGTGTGTACCTGTGCATGCTTGACTTACATAGATGCCATTGTATTTGGTGCCCAGGCAGCAAGTGCAGCCTATGGCCCTGCCCCAAAGCTTGGTACCACCCAACACTTGTACAGGCCGCACACGGCTGTCTTTGCAGAATCCTTCCTGAGAGCCTTTGCCCTCTACCTCCTGGGCAAAGTGCTTAGCAGGGCGGTTGGAAGCCAGCTCTGCTGGCCATCCCAGGGTACCCTATGCCTGGAACTTTCCTCAGCAACATTATGTCTCTTCCTTCTAGCTGCAGAGCTACTTTGCAGCGTGTGAAGACGAGACCCCTGCTATCCGGAACCATGACAAGGTCTTGCAACGCCTGTGTGAGCACCTGGACCATGCCCTGCTGTACGGGTGAGTGCAGGCTGCTCTTGGGCTTATGGAGCCAGGTGTGGGGACCCAGATGCCCTGCAGCGAGGCATTCCTGTCCTTGTCTGCCTCTGTCCTGGGGTGCAGATGGAAGGAAAGCAGCTGGTGGCCCGAGGCAGTCCTTCCTAGGCCCAGCTGCTGTCCTGGCCCTACAGATTGCAAGACCTCTCCTCCGGCTACTGGGTGCTTGTGGTCCATTTCACCCGCAGAGAGGCCATCAAGCAGATCGAGGTGTTACAGCACGTGGCCACCAACCTGGGGCGCAGTGAGTAGAACCAGGGGCCAGCTGTGCTCTCCCTGTGGGGAGCTTGTGGCTCAGGTCCAGCCCAGGTCAGCCTGAGGCAGCTGTCTGCTTTGTAGTGTCAAGTGGCGGTGGCGGGTCAAATGCTAGCGCCTTCCACAAAGCCTCACTTTTTCCCTGTGCATGTGACAGTGTGTGGGTGTGTCACTGATGAAGTGAAGGGGAACATGATCCACAAGAAAACTGGACTCCTTTAGAGTCCCAGGCCAAGAGCATGAGAGAAGTGTGTTAGGCCGCAGGGTCGCAGGGTCGGGGCAATGTCCTTGAATAGCTCAAAAAAGCACCGCCCACCAAGCACCATCTTGCCTTCTGCACTCTGGCTGACCACAAGCTCGGGCCTGGCCTACAGGCTGTGGGGCTACCTAGTTCTTCACAGGCCTTTGTTTGGCAGATGAAAAGCAGCTGCTCAGCAGCTGAGTTACTCCTGCCTTCTCCGTAGGCCGCGCCTGGCTCTACCTGGCTCTCAATGAGAACTCCCTGGAGAGTTACCTGCGACTGTTCCAGGAGAACCTGGGCCTGCTGCAGAAGTACTATGTCAGGTGAGTGTTTGGAACACTCCTATTTCTTGCTGGGCCCCTAGCTCCCTCACTCTCTACCTAACACCGCCTGTCACACAGAGACAGAGGCCTAGCTTGATATCACACACCAAGGGCCTGATAGTGATGGCAGAGAGCCTTGGGGTCTTGCTGGCAGTCTGGTGGCTTCCTCCAGGAGAGTTCAGAGTTTTCCCCCAGAGTCCCAGCCGGGCTCTGTAAACAGTCTGGTGTCTGCCCTAGCCCCAGGCTGACCAAATGCCCAGTGTTTGCCTTCCCCCTTTGCTGGGGACACTCCAGGGACAGAGTGTTCATAGCAGCCACTGATCTCCAGGCCCATCTCTGGAGACGCTGGTATGCTTCACAGCCAGAAAGAGACCAGGCCTGGCGGAGAGAGTTGGGTGCCCTCCAGGGGTGGGCTGTCATCCATCCAATTTCAACACTGTAGGCTTTCTGGGGAGGTTGAGCCAGGCTGATGACCAGCTCAGAAATCCCCAGGTTGCTTTTTGTGTGTCTGGCAGGAATGCCCTGGTCTGCAGTCACGATCACCTGACTCTTTTTCTGACCTTGGTGTCTGGGCTGGAGTTTATTCGGTTTGACCTGGATCTGGTGAGACACCTGGGCTCTGGGTACTGGAGAGGGAGGAGAAGGGGTGGGGGAGGACTTCATTTTTCTAGTCTGGAGCTTGTTGGGTGTGGCTGAACTTGGCAACACCTGTTTCTTCAGATAAAGGGCACCTTTAAGGTCCATGGCTTACTCATGGCCCTGCTTCAGCATCTTCCGGCCTCTCTGCACAATGTGGAAACACCACCTTGCCTCAAGTGTCTTACTCAGAAGGACTTCCCTTTGTGTTTGAGACTTGAGTGTCTGAGAGGTCCAAGACAAATTCCTGCAACCCTGACAAGTGTCCTTAGCTCTGCTTTCCCGCAGGAGCTCTCAACCCCACTTCAAATTCCCATCCATACACTGGATAGACCCTCCCATGGTCACAGAGCTCACTTTCTAAGACTCTACCCTACTCCATCTCTAAAATCACAGATGGTACCAAACTCTGTATGTGCTGTGGGTTTTCATCTGTAATGAAGGGATGACTCAGTTGTTAAGAGCATGTACTACTCTTGCAGAGAGCCTGAGTTTAGTTACCAACACCTTTGTATGACAGGCAGCTCACAACCACCTGTAACCTCAGTGCCAGGAGAATCTGATGCCCTCTTCTGGCCCCTGAGGGTATTGCACTCACAAGTGCACATTACCTGACACAGACACATATCAACACTTAAACTATAAAACCTTAAATCCGGTAGTGGTGATGCACTCAGGAGGCAGAGACAGGCAAATCTCTGAGTTCAAGGCCAGCCAGGGCTACACAGAAAAACCCGCCCTAGAACAAACAAACAAACAAAAAAAGCAAAATTAAACTAAAAAGCTATTCTCTGTAAGAGATAACAACAATAGTAGCAAAGCAAGATAATTATAAGAATTTTGTTTTAGATTTTTAAAAAAACTTAAGAGTTGTATACGAGAGTCAGGAGGATCCTGAGTTCAAAGTCACCCTTAGCTGTGTAGCAAAGTCAAGCCCAGCCTGAGATTCATAAAACCCTATTGAAAATACAACAACAAAAACCGGGGCCAGCTGGGTGGTGGTGGTGCACGCCTTTAATTCCAGCACTCGGGAGGCAGAGGGAGGTGGATCTCTGTGAGGTCGAGGCCAGCCTGGTCTACAGAGCTAGTTCCAGGAAAGCTAGGGCTGCACAGGGAAACCCTGTCTCAACAAAACAGAAACAGAAAAGGGGGGACAGTAATTTGGCTCAGTGGGTGAAAACACTTGACACACAAACCTGCCCACCCAAGTTCAATACCCAGACCCTACATAAAAATGGGAGGAGAGAAGCAACTCTTCAAAGTTGCCCTCTGACCTCCACACAAATCCTGTGGCATGTATATGTTCCCCAAACCACAACTACCACACACACACACATCATGCACACAAAATAATAAAAGATAAATGATAAATAATTTGTTGTTGAGACATGATCTCACTAAGTTCTCCTGGCTGGCCTGGACTCACAGAGATCCACCTGCCTCTGCCTTTCAAGTCCTGGGATTAAAGGCACATACTACATGCCTAGCTCAAAAAATTTTTGAAAACATATCAGTTTTTATTTCTGAAGGTTCTCATTTAATACTTCCGAACTACAGTAGCAAATCATAGACAGCGAAGCTGCAAGCCAGAGGAAGTGGCTATACAAGGACAGTGACCCCAAAGAGGCCAGAGCATCTCAGAGGCTTGGCAAGATTAGTGCAACTGCCCCATCTGGTCACACCCTTCCCCTGCTCCGGCCCTAACAGACCGAGGTGGGATTCAGCAGTGGTAGAAACAAGAGAAAGAGAGATTTTAATGCTGAGAGCTATCAAGGGAACATTAGCTGCTCTGGCTGGATTCCTACGACTCTTTTTCCCTCCTTTTTTGGGCACTGTGGATGGAACCCAGCCACGCATGCATTCGGACGAGCTTCGCACTGCGGACATCCTGTACATCCAAGGCTTCCAAACTCTTTCCTTACTCCTTGGGGCAGTTACTTCCCAATTAACTTCTAAACACCTTGATTTCCTTAAGAAAGAGAGCGTGGGGTGTTGGGTGGGTATTGTGTCTGTCTGTCTGTCTATGCTGTGTATGTATCTGTGGGATCTGTCTGTATGTGTGGAATGTGTGTGTGTGTGTGGTTTGTGTATGTTTGTGGTGTGGTGTGTGTATGTGGTATGTGTGTCTGTCTGTGGGTGAGATCTGTGTGGTTTGTGTATGTGGCGTTGTGTGTGTGTGTGTGTGTGTGTGTGGTATGTTTGTGGTGTGTGTGTGTGTGTGTGTGTGTGTGTGTGATCCCCATCTTACGTCCTGTCCTGATTCTGGTGACTACTTGCCAAGCCTTGTTTGCTGGCTCCCCTGAGGTTCCTATCCGACGCCTCTTCCTTCCTCTTCTGTCTCCCCCAGGATGCCCCTTACTTAGATCTGGCCCCCTACATGCCTGATTACTACAAACCTCAGTACCTGTTGGACTTCGAAGACCGCCTTCCCAGCTCAGTCCATGGCTCAGACAGCCTGTCCCTCAACTCCTTCAACTCTGTCACCTCCACCAACCTGGAATGGGATGACAGTGCCATTGCCCCATCTAGTGAGGGTAAGTGGCCCCAGGGCAAAAGGAACTAGGCCTGTGCCCTGAAGTGACCTCTGGAGCCTCCCAAGACCAGCTGGGTGACAATGTCTCTGGTGTTTGAAATTCACAGTTGAACACAGCTGATCATTTCTGAGATCTTCATTTCTGTGGTAACTTTAAAAAAAAAGCAAATATCAGGCTCTGTGAACCTTCCTAACCTTTCCAGAAGTTTCTAGCCTCGTGCCCAGGGTCAGTCTTCTGAACAAGGAGGGATCACAGCAATGCACCCTCGAAACTTGCCTGAGTCAGGGCTGAATCAGCTGCCTGGGGAAGGTTGTCGTGCAGCAGGTTCTACGTAGAGACTGTGCAAGCCCAGGAGAGACAGACAGGCAGTCTGAGGGGGCAGAAACCCTCATGGTTTCTTGGGCAGTTCCTCTAGTACCCCTCCATGGGTCAGACAAGCTATAGGTGGGTCCTTTCAACTCAGATCAATTACTAGTTAACCCTGACTTCCTCAGATCTTAGGCGTTGGCGTTCATAACCCCGTCCATTGCCCCTGCCTCAGTAAGATCTAGGTTGCCTTGATCTGACCTCATTCACTCAGCCTAACCTCCTGGGAGGTGGCTCCAAGAACTCACTTGGCTCCCATGGTCGCCTCTCTTGAGATCTGGCCTTCCTCATTCCTTGTTTCTGCTTGTGCTGTGGGTCATGTGTCCCACTTTCAGACTTGCTTCAGCAAGATTTGCATTGCAGGAGTTCAGTGTAGCTGAGGGAGTAGAGTGCTGGTCCAGCGTGTATGCAGCCATGGGCTCGACCCCAGCACTGTATAAACCCAAGCCTGTGGCCGGTGAGATGGCCTGGTCGCTCAAAAACACTTGCCACGCCACACACACACCCGACAGCCTGACTGACCCTGGGAACCCACCATACCACACTCACTGTGACACATGCAAGCCCATGCTTACACACACACACACACACCTGACAGCCTGACTGACCTTGGAAACCCACCATCCCACACTCATTGTGACACACGCAAGCCTGTGCTTGCACATCACACACACACACACCCCTCAGGCTTGATGGGGCACACCTGTAATCCCAGCATTTAGGGAGCAGTCAGGAGGATCAGAAGTTCCGGGTCATCCTCTTCTATGTAGTAAGTTCAAGACCAGCCTGTGCTACATGAAAAAACTAATAGTAAAAAGATTTGCCTGCTTATTTGCTTATGGAATAAGTGAAGACGCCACTCAGTCTTCGTGGGTGGACCTCATGGGGTCAGAGGGATGGACAGGCCTTGAGGAAGCAGCCAGGCCATCTGTGGATGGAGGCTATACCGTCAAACTCTAGCCAGAGGGCGGGACTTCATAACCTCAGGGCCACAGGGGGAAGGAAGGCAAGGGGACTCAGGTTCTTGTGTGCCAGAACAGACTCTGGGTTGGGAAGGAGTGGCCCTCAGGACAGCCGAGGTCACAGTCAGCTTTTAGAGAAGGTGTACCCAGTTCTTCCCCCTCTCTTCTCCCGTGTCTCCCGCCTGCTGCCCTGACCTCCTTCCACTGCCCGTTTCTAATCTTGAGTTTTGTCCCTCGTTTTTATAGATTATGATTTTGGAGATGTGTTTCCAGCAGTGCCGTCTGTACCCAGCACAGACTGGGAAGGTGGGACAGAGTCCTCTGTGACCCTCTTTTCCTGTTTTGCAACGTTTCCACGCCGAGCTTGCTGCATGTTTCAGAATCAGCTCCTTATTACTTTTAACATTGCCCATGGTCATAACGATGCCACAGCTGGTGTTGGAGTAGGTGGAATTCTGCAGTAGGGGAACTTGGCTCGTAGGAGCCTCAGGAGTCACTCAGTGACTGTTGCCCAAACACCAAGCCACCCTCCTGATTCCGAGGCCAGTCGTTATACTAATGGTGTGGATGAGTGACCTGGCTCACTGGAGCGCAAACCTGTTCCATAAAAGCGATGCTTTGAGATACAGGTATTGTAAGCTTCCATCCACCACATGAGCATCCAGGGGAAAGATGAAGGCTCAGTCCTTTCAGGCTGTCCCAAATGGGTTGAGATCCAAGTGAGGAAACTGCCCCAGCAAAGCCAAAGATCTCTACAGGGAGTCAACAAAATGGTTTGGCAAGTAAAGGCACTTGCCACCAAGCATGCCTGCTTGAATTCCTTCCCTAGAAGCCTCATGGTGGGAGGAGAGAATCAATATCCCCAAGATGGCCTCTGGCCTTTATGTACACACACAGCATCCTCTGACCTCTGTATCCATACATACACAGCATCTTTTGACCTCTACATGCACAGCATCCTCTGACCTCTGTACACACATGCACAGCATCCTTTGACCTCTGTGTACACACACACACACACACACAGCGTCCTTTGATCTCTGTGTACACATACACAGCGTCCTTTGACCTCTATGTACACGCACAGCATCCTCTGACCTCTCTGTACACACACAAGCATGCCCCACCCCATAAATTAGTCAATGTGAAAGCTTCCGGCAAGGAGATTCTCTTTGAACTTTTAAAGTAGTTGAACTTCCTATGCTGCCCTCTGGACATCAGCATTGTGGGGGCATTTTTTCTGCCTGGGACCCATGCCTGGGCTTGGACAAATTCACACGGTGATTTAAAGGTTTCAGGACTTACTCCAAGTAGAGTCTCTGTTTGATATGGTAAATGTTTGCTCCTTAAATCTAAGACTATCCAACACTCCCTTCCCAAAAAGCTCCTGCCCCAGGTACCCCTTCTTGCCGGAGGTGGGGTTCCCTCTGAGGGTTCCCCTTGAGGGTTATCTCTGAGCAGTGGACAAGAGCTAATGTTTCCCGTGGGATGTGAGTGTGAACTAGCTTAGCTTGGAGAGACATGGGCTCCAACAGAGTGGTAAATTGTGTCGCTCGGCCAAGAAGGTAACTGTGAGGAGTGTGTCTGAGAGCAGGTAGTGTGAGACCCGGAATTCCACCTTAACATCCTTTCTCCTCTCAGCCTCTTCTGAAGTGTATTGTCGGCGTTGGTTTTTAACTCTGACTCTAACCACTAACCCTTTCCTGGCACACTTTACAATCACTTGACAGGCAGGCCATGACCTCTGACCTTCCTCTGCAGCCCTGGGATAGTTCTTGCACAGGAACTAATGGCCCAGCTTGCTCAGGCTGGGCCAGACCCAGGCAGGGTTATATTCATGGCAACAGTGACTCTCCAAGTTCTTCAGCACCATGGAAACTCACCCAGCTAAGGCCCCAGTGTCTCCTTGAGCCTGGAAGAAAGCAAGTTTTTTTTTGGTGGGGGGGAGGCACACAAATCCAACCTTGGGACCCTGAGCAGGTCTGGGTAGGGTGATCCATGGTCTTAAGCTTATTTATAAAATGCTAAGCATCCAGGCTCCTACCACGTCCTGGGGTCTGTGTTCCCTCTCATGACCCCTCCACAAGCAGCTGCAAGTACTGAGAGGAAGCACGGGGTAGAAATCTCTGCCCCTGTGAGAGCCTCTGTGGGGCCAGAAGGCGTGGTTTCCTCCTTCTGACCCTTCGTGAGGCAGGAGGACTGCTGATTGTCCCAGGCCAGGCAGGGCTACATAGTGAGACCCTCCCATCTCAAAAAGATAAAAATGAGAAAAGACAGACCCTTAAAACAAGAGAAACAAAGTACTGTGTCAGCCAGCAAGTCCCGGCACTTCCGGTGTGCTTCGGGAAGCGTGTTCCTCCCTTCGGCACAGCTAATGCCAGCGAGATGTGCACTGCTAGAGTATGTGTGGCCTGTCCCACCCGCTGGTCCCAGGCCTCAGCTCTCTGCCTGGGCAGCTCCTATCTGCTGCCAGAAAAGTGGCCCCCTGTACTTGCCACAGTGCTGCCCCCCGTCCACCTAGTCCAGTAAGTTAGAATGGGGGGTTTGGAGGAGGCCAGTTAGACCAGCTCCTCACTGAAAGGCAGCAGCATCCTCCAGCTCGGCCTTAGAGGGGTCCCCCAGGAGTGCTGTTGGATTTAGGGGAGAAAAGTCAATATCCTCCCAAGAGCCTGCAAAGTGTCTTGGGGGCAGCCCCTTGCACCCCTTCCTCTCTGCATCTCATCCTGTTGTCCCTGATCCGTCTGTCACTGTTCTCTGTGGTGTTGGGTCCTGCGTTCCCCTCCCCAGCCCATGCTTTCGTTTTCCTGGTCTCTTCTGCTCTTCCTGCTTCCTTTGTTCCCTGGTGTCTGCGGGGGAGGGAGCTTGCAGAGGGCTTTCGGTATCACTTTGTACTTGGAGTGGTGTTGAGGGGCTGCTGGGCACCCCCAGTCCTCACAGGAGAGGACTCTGAGGTTATCCTAGGAGGTAGGCAACCTGTCTGCTCTTGGGGCCCCAGCCACCCTGGGAGCGTGAGTCACCTTGCCCAGGGCTTAGGTCTAGAAGTTGTTTCACACTGTGAATCCTTAACTGAACTTGGCTAAGTGTGAACGCTAAGGGCTCCCAGTGGCAGAAAAGAGGGCATCCCCATCATTTGGCTCCAAAAGCATCAATTGCATGTCCTAAGGGTTGGGACTACCGCTCCTGAACTAGGGCCACCGTGGTCAGGCTTTCCTGGGAGGAACTCGCCCACCTCCCCTGAGAGAAGGCATCCTCTGGGGCCCAGTTGGTAGCTGATGGGCTGTCTGTGTCTTGTCTCTTTGTCCTTACAGATGGAGACCTCACAGATACCATCAGCGGCCCCCGCTCCACTGCCTCGGACCTGACCAGTAGCAAGGCATCCACCAAGAGCCCCACGCAGCGCCATAACCCCTTCAATGAGGAGCAGCCTGAGGCTGTGTCATCGTCTGACACCACCCCAGTGCACGCCACCTCTCAGGAGAAGGAAGAGGCCCAGACCCCAGACCAATCAGATGCCTGTACGGAGCTTGAAGTCATCAGGTCAGCAGGGAGGGGCCTGGGAGAAGGTGGGTGAGCACCTAGTGCCCAGCGTCCACCTCTGGGCTCACCATGTAGTCCAGGGCAGACGGGCTGTCCCAAGGGCAGAGGACATCACTGAGACTTAAGACCCAGCCCCTTCACACCTTGTACGGTTTTTGGGCCACAGGGATCAGAAGATCTGTCCCAGGCAGGCTGCTGTAACCAAGTACAGAGACAGGTGGCAGAAATAGCAGAAAGGTGGACTTTTTTTGGTCCACGACAGGGTTTCTTTGTGTAGCCCTGGCCATCCTGGAACTTACTATGTAAACCAGACTGGCTTCAAACTCAGATCCTCCGGCCTCTGCCTCCTGAGTACTGGAATTAAAGACATGCACCATCTCACGGGGCCACATCAAGTCTTTATTCTGGAGGCCGAGGTGAGGGTGCCACACCTGCAGTCCCTGGGAGGAGGACCTTCTCCATGTTCTCACGTGTTCGTCTTGTGTGTGTTCTCGTGTCGGAATGGAGACGCCTCTCTTTTGTAAGGACGATGGCCCCATTCAGAGGGCTCTGCCCCATGACCTTAGCACCTCTCAGAAGCACTCCTTTTGACACCATTACCTGGTCAGTGTTCGCCTTGAGAGGGACACAAGCATCCATCTTGGAGTAAGCCCTGGAAGTACTGGCCTGGGCAGCAGCCATCGCTGGCTGGCCTCTGGGCGTTTTGTTTAGCCCAGCCAGGGCCAGAAACCACCTTGGGGTCAGCCACCTTCCCAGGAGTATTTGCTCTGTTAGGTTTGTTTGTAAGACAGGGCCTCACTATATATGTGTGAACCCCAGGTTGGACTGAAACTTGCCATCCTCCTGCCCCAGCCTCCCAGGGCTGAGAAGTCAGCATACATTCTGAGATGTCTAGTTTTGGTTCATGTCAAACCTGCTTCATGTGTCAAACCTGTGTCCTTGACACATGAACAAAGTTATGCAAGGGAGGGTGGAGGGGGCTCTTGACCAGAACCATCTCAGCTCTCTGGCCTCCCTGGGGCCTACTCTGAGAGCTCTCCATAGCCCATCATACCTGCTGGCCTGAGGCAGGAGCATTACTTCCTAGGGTCTGGGCTTGGGACACACACACTCACACAGGCGCACGTGCACACACACACACACACACACACACACACACACACACACCTGCTCACACAGACTCTCGCTGAGGTTGGTTAAAGTACACAGGAGCTTTAGAGACTCAGCCCTGAAGCCGGGCCCGCTCAGCCATCTTAGAACCAAAAAGTAAAGCCAAGATGGTAGCCCCAGAACCTCGGAGGCACTTCGGAGCACATCATTTATTCCCAATGGTACCTAACGGAAAGATCTGTTCACATCCTAAGGGTAGCACAGAGTCGTTGATCCAGCTAACCACGGCCTAAGTTTATTTCCTGGACAGGCGTGGCAGCTCAGCGGGGCTCGTTTTGCTTTATTTTGTTTTCGGAGACAAGGTCTCACTAAATAGCCCTGGTTAGCCTGGAACTCAGTTGTAGATCAGACTTGCCTCAAATGACCTCCTACCTCTGCCCCCCGAGTGCTAGGAATATAGACTTGTGCTACCAGGCCTGACTTAGCTCAGATTGTTTTCCCCCTCTTTTTGTTTTTGAGGTGGGTCTGACTGTGTAGCCCAGGCAGGCCTTGTATTCACAATCCTCCTGCCTCCACCTCCCAAGTGCTGGGATCATAAGTTTGCACTAGCAGGTCTGGCTGCTACCTCAGCTCTATCAGCTAGAATGTGTAGGCCTGCTCAGGAGCCATTCCTGCCTCTCTTGGCTGTCTCTCCTACTCATCTCTGCCAGTACCAGAACACCTTAGGTCTCTCACCTCGTACTGCCCAGGGCCATATACCCCCCAGACTGCCTCTCTGACCCAGCCTGTACACAATGGGTACTAAAGCATTAACTCCCTTCCTGTCACTGCCGTCACAGGGTCACCAAGAAGAAGAAAATTGGTAAGAAGAAAAAGACCAAATTGGACGAGGAAGCAAGCCCGCTGCACCCCACCTCTAGCCTCCAGACATGTTCTAGGCAGGGGGATGGTGATGGACTTGTGGGCACCCCAAACCTGGGGCGGGACTTGCCAGCTACTGCACTTGCCTCCCCGCAGGAGCAAGGGGAGGGGCCCAGCAGTGCAGCTGAGAGCAGTGAACACTCCGAGCTCAGCCAGATGGGCTTGTTAATCCCGGAGATGAAGGACACCTCCATGGAGTGCCTGGGACAGCCCCTGAGCAAGGTCATTGACAAGCTCCATGGACAGCTGGACCCAAGCACGTGGTGCTCCCACATTGATCCCCCGGATCAGTCCTTTCGGACCGGCTCTCCGGGGGAGGACCCGGAGAAACCACCATTTGGCGACTTTAGTGAGGGGCTTCCAGCCCCAATGGACTTCTACCGCTTTACGGTCGAGAGTCCAAGTACTGTTGCAGCAGGTGGCAGCCACCATGACCCTGCAGGGCCTAGCCAACCGCTGCATGTTCCTGGTAGCCCTGCGACTGCTGTCCAAGAAGAGGAGGGAGGAAGAGGAGAGGGACAGGCACCTAAGCCCTTAGAGGACTCGCAAGGGGAAGCTCAGCAGCCGGAGCCTCAGGAACAGGACGCCCAGTTGCCACTGGCCTGCCAGGAGCCTGTGACTGAACCCGTGTCCCAGCCTGAACTTGGAACCCAGGAAGCCCTTAGCAAGCTCAAGCGAGACCAGCCCAGTCCATGTCTGAGCAGCGCCGAGGACTCCGGGGTAGACGAGGGTCAGGGGAGCCCTTCAGAGATGACTCACCCCTCTGAGTTCAGGTGAGGCTGTCTTAACCTGGTGCAGGGTCTGCCAGTCCAGCAGGGATGGGAGGTCTAGCCTGCTGGTGGGAGATGGAAAGGCGTGTGACCCCTCATCTGACCCCTGCTCCTCCCGACCCTTGTCCCTGTCTGTCACAGAGTAGACAACAATCACTTGCTCCTACTGATGATCCATGTCTTTAGAGAAAACGAAGAGCAGTTGTTCAAAGTAAGTCCCCGAAGTGGGGAGCCATCGAGTGACCAGCAAAGGCGGGTTGGGACACCCACACTCCTCAGTGTGCATGCACGTCCGGCAGGGCAGGAGCTCGAGCTGACTCCTGTTTGCTTTGACTTAGATGATCCGGATGAGCACAGGGCACATGGAGGGCAACCTGCAGCTGCTGTACGTGCTACTCACAGACTGCTACGTCTACCTGCTTCGGAAAGGTGCCTGCCGCCCCAGGCCAGAGTGGGTGGGGTTGAACTCCGCTCCCCCATCCCCCTACCCCCACTTTAAGCATATACTAATGACAAGGTGTTCCCCCCGGGAGGGACTGCTAGCTGGGCTACACACCCGTTCTGTTGTGGCTTCACCTTGCTGGGTACGGAGGGGGCTGGGTCTTAGAAAATGGGGCTGGGGGACGGGAAAAAGACCAGCCAGGGTAATGGGTACTGTGATCTCCTCTCTCAGGGGCCACAGAGAAGCCATACCTGGTGGAAGAAGCCGTTTCTTACAATGAACTTGACTATGTGTCGGTGAGTACAGACTCTGCAGAGGGTGGACCCGCCTAGGGATGCGGCTTCTCAGGCCACCCATGCTCAGAGCTGCAGAGCAAGGTCCATCCTGGGTGTGGGCACCAACATCCAGAGGCCTCTGTGCACATGCGGGAGACAGGAGTCAAGTGTGAAGGTGCCTCTTCCTGATCTCTGACAATCTTCCCTAACTCATGAGAGACTTCAGATTTTGGTCAGGGGCCTTAGTAGTGACCCCAAACGTGCGGTTTCTCCCTTCCTGATCCCAGCCAACCCTCAGTCTGGCCACGTTGCCCCTTATGCTGGGCAGTGACAAGCCCTGTGTGGTTTCTGGCAGGTTGGCCTTGACCAACAGACCGTCAAGCTGGTGTGCACCAACCGCAGGAAGCAGTTTCTGCTGGACACGGCTGACGTGGCCCTGGCTGAGTGAGTGTCAGCTCCTACCCCTCAACGGGACAGAGGGGTCAACATCTGCCATGGCCCTGGCTAGGGATAAAAACAGACACCAAACTATTCCCCTAAGAGCCTGCGGTCTCGTTACAGAGGCAGGGAAGTCGACGGTCACTGGCCAGCTGACTTGTGTCAGCCCGGGTGACCTCAGCCCCCAGGACCCTTGGAGAGGAAAGGAGCTGGTGTGAGGTCCAATGGGAGGGGAGACCCAGGAGCCAGGCTCCTGTCCTGGACTACAGACATGAGAATTACATGCTGAGGTCTTAACTGTCTGATTGGCGTGGTCAGGTCCTACTGGCCAACACTTTGGCTAGTCTCTCTTTACTTTCAGAATCCAGGGCCCTTTGGACACTAGGAATGGTCAGGCCTTTTCTGGGCACCATCCAGGGATGCAGGGTCCACCACTGCCCTGATTGCAGCATCCTCAGCCCTTAGTTACTGTTAGCCCTCTGGGCCAGGAGTTCTCAGGACAAAGCCCTGACCACTGAGGACCTGTCCCCAAGGCCTCTGACAGCAAACTGCACTCCCTGCACAGGCTCTTCTTGGCATCTTTGAAGTCAGCCATGATCAAAGGCTGCCGGGAACCACCCTACCCTAGCATCTTGACCGATGCCACCATGGAGAAGTTGGCACTGGCCAAATTTGTCGCTCAGGAATCCAAATGTGAGGTCAGTGACTGGGGAGGAATCTCCAGTGGAACGCTAACATGGACCTGCCTTGGATTAAGGCTGAGTAATACAAATGGTGCCCTTAGCCTTTCCCGGTCACCTCGCGGGGAGGGCTTTCCTCCTGGGCCGTCCTCTTGCCCACTTGGCTATGTCCTGAGGTTACTTTGCTATCACTGTCCCTGGGGCTGGGTTATGGGTAAGCTGAGGCTCTGCCAAGGCCTTATCTGCCCTGTCTGTTGCTGAACCTCCAGGCATCCACCGTGACTGTGCATTTCTACGGGCTTGTGCACTGGGAGGACCCCATGGACGAGGCCCTGGGCCCTGTCCCCTGCCAGTGCTCACCCCACGAGGGCACCATCACCAAAGAAGGTGTCCTGCACTACAAGGCTGGCACCTCCTATCTGGGCAAGGAACACTGGAAGACCTGCTTCGTGGTGCTCAGGTGGGAACCTCCACAGCGGTGGGCCCAGGGGATGTCAGGTCCCTAGCATGAGAGGCCCAAGGGCAGATGCCTCCCTTCTCCACAGTGTTGTGGGTTAGTTTTTCTGTCCAGCCAGTTCTCAGGGCACAGACTCCCAAATGCCCGAAACCAGCCCTGGTGCCAGACCTTCAGCTGTGCCCAGGGAGGGGCAGTGTTCTCCCCAGTCACTCTCAGATTCCTTTTGTAACCCCTCCCATAGGAAGCAGACCCCAGCCAGGTGGTGGTGGCGCCCAGAATTTGAGAGGCAGAGGCCAGCAGATCTCTGTGAGTTCAAGGTCAGCCTGGTCTACAGAGCGAGTGCCAGAATAGGCTCCAAAGTTACACAGAGAAACCCTGTCTCAAAAAACCAAACCTTAAGAAAAGAAAAGGGAAGGAAGGAAGGAAGGAAGGAAGGAAGGAAGGAAGGAAGGAAGGAAGGAGGCAGATCCCTGGTTCCTAGCCAATTTATAAGGGACCCCTGGGATCTTCTTAGCCAGGCCTCACCTCATTGTATTGTGACTCTACAGCAACGGGATCCTCTACCAGTATCCTGACCGCACTGACGTCATTCCCCTGCTCTCGGTGAACATGGGGTAAGTATCCCAAGAAAAGGGTATGGGGCAGGTGTTGTGGCTAGGTGTCCTGTTTGGAGTCTGCTCTAACTGAGTCCAAGGCCGAGAGCTCTCTGTCCTTCTGCCCGTCTCCCTTACCCAGCAGCCCCCAACTAGTGTCTTGGGGTTCACAAGCTGTAGGGAGCCATGGAGGCAGGATGAATGAGGAGGCACCCTTTGCCTAGGGAAGGGATCCCCACCCAGTGAGAAGCAGACTGCAGAGGAAGTGGATGAGTGGCCCCTGGTTCTGAGCAGGTGCCGTGAGTGGCTGTGTACCCTCTCACCTGGCTATGTTCGGGTACCCCAAGGGCTCTTGGCACTTCTGGAGATACAGGTTGTTATGCAACCAGGAACAGTGGGACACTTCTAATGCGGCATGGAAGGTAGAAGCAGGAAGATCAGAAAGTTCCAGGTTATCCTCTGCTACATAACAAGCTCCAGGCTAGCCAGGGCTACATGAGACCCTGTCTCAAAAGAAACAAAACAAAACTGCTACACAGAAATGGTGGGGTTGCCAAACACACGTCAATGTCCCTAGACCCAGAGCCCGAGGCCCAGTGTCTGCACACCCCAGCCAGCGCCAGGGTCTCCCGCTCCAGCCTCATCACCTACCATTTCACCCTCCTCCTCTGGCCCAGGGGGGAGCAGTGCGGTGGCTGCCGGAGATCCAACACCACAGACCGGCCCCACGCCTTCCAGGTCATTCTGGCTGACCGGCCCTGCCTGGAGCTGAGCGCCGACAGCGAGGCTGAGATGGCAGACTGGATGCAGCATCTCTGCCAGGCCGTGTCCAAAGGAGTAAGCGTCCCTGCTTCCACCATCAGCCCAGCCTGGGAGGGCCAAGATGGGAGACCCCCAGGGCACAGCCCAAGAATGAACACAAGCTCAGGGGACTGTAGCCTGAGCCATTCTCCCCTCCTCTCCCTACACTGCTAAGGTAGACAGTCTGATAGGGGATTCCTGGTACAGGTCACCCTGCAGAAACAGGCTTCCTCTCCCATCTTCTGCCAATATCCAGGTCATACCCCAGGGGGTGGCCCCCAGCCCCTGTATCCCTTGCTGCCTGGTAATCACCGAGGACCGCCTCTTCACATGCCATGAGGATTGCCAAACCAGCTTCTTCCGCTCCCTGGGCACGGCCAAGCTGGCTGACATCAGTGCCATCTCCACAGAACTGGGCAAGGAGTACTGCATCCTGGTGAGTTGGGTGGGAACAAGGGCACAGGCTCCACCCAAGGAAATCCACGCATGCTCACCCAGGACCTGCTGTCCCTAGGAATTCTCCCAGGATAGCCCACAGCTGCTCCAACCCTGGGTCATCTATCTGAGCTGTACTTCCGAACTGGACCGCTTCCTGACTGCCCTGAGCTCTGGATGGAAAGCCATCTACCAGGTAGGTACCTAGCAGTTCTTGGGGCCTTACCTCACCTGCAGGGTTCTGGGGGCAGCAATTCACAAACATCGCTGAGACACAGAAACTTAGGGCCAGAGCGGCATGTCCCGATATCAACTAGTTTGTCAAAGCTAAAAATGGCACCAGAAGCTGTAGGGGCCTGGTGAGACCCAAGACAGGAGCTCCTCTTCCCCAGAGTCCTGGAGAGGTAGTAGCTTTTGGTTTTTGTTTTGTTGTGGTTGTGGTTTTTTGTTTTTTGTTGGTTTGTTTTTGAGACAAGGTCTTACCATGCAATTCTGACTAGTCTAGAATTCACAGGGAACCCTCTGCCTCTTGTTGTCTTGGGTAGCATGTGCTATGACCATGTTGCAAGGAGGCCGCTTGTTGATTCCTGGCTGCTCAGCCCCGAAATAATCACACATAAACTGTATCAATTAAATCTTGGCCCATTAGCTCCAGCTTCTTATTGGCTAACTCTTACATATTAATTTAACCCGTTTCTATTAATCTGTGTATTGCCACGAGGCTGCGGATTACCAGGTAAAGTTCCTGTGTCTATGTCTGGCCAGGTTACATGGCTTCTCTCTGACTCCGCCTCCTCTCTCCCAGCATTCAGTTTAGTTTTTCCCACCTAGCTAAGTTCTGCCCTGCTGTAGGTCCAAAGTGGTTTCTTTATTTACCAATGGTATCCACAGCATACAGAGGGGACTCCCACATCACACCACACCCAGGGAGAGGTTCTGTTTTGCACGCATGTGCTCCCTGCCCGCTGTGGTTCTGGAGGAGCTCTACACTGAGCCTGAGATGAAGAACAGGGATAGAAACGTGCCTAGTGAATTCCAGGTAGAGCTGAGAGCTTGGGCTCTGCGAGCAAAGCAAAAGAGATACTCATAACATGGACGATGTTCCCAAAGGGATGTGTAGAACCCCAAAGGTCTTCCATGGCTCCTAGGGGCGCAGCCTACAGCCTTTATTGTTCCTGCTTGTCTGCCACAGGTAGACCTCCCTCATAAGGCAATTCATGAAGCTTCCATCAAGCAGAAATTCGAAGACGCCCTGAGCCTCATCCATAGCGCCTGGCAGCGAAGTGACAGCCTCTGCCGAGGGAGAGCCTCCCGGGACCCCTGGTGCTGAGGCATGGCCGGGCAGCATGTACACTGTGCTGTGCTACTATGCTGTTTCAGATTCAGGTGTCCCCAGGCCTCTACAGCCTGCTCCTGCTTGGGGCGGCAGAACCACTAGTATGGCTTGAGACAGGGATCCAGAGTGGGTGCCTAGCACTCTGGGAGTCCCGCCCAACGGGAAGTGACTAGAGGTCACTGGGGCGAAGGTCTGAGCCCTGTGGGCTCTGTAGACACACGGTGTTCCCTGGGCCACCTTTCGAGTCCTTTCCATCTGCTCAGGGTGGCCATGAGAATAATAGCATCCACTGAAGGGGAGCAAAGAGACCAGGAGGGCGGGTATGCCATCTTCCTTTCCTGGGCCAGGGGCCTGGGCAGATGGTCAGGGCCCCCTGGGGGTCGTGAGTGCCCAGCCATCCTTGTTCGTTTTTGAACAGTCCTCACTGTGCAGGAAAGTGGAAACACTAGGTATCTGTGCATGCCTCCTCTGACATACCCACCCCGCGCAGTGGCCTGCCTCACACGGCTCATGGCTGCCGGGAGGCCCTGCATGTCCACAGCCCTGCCTCTCCTCTTTCTCAAGTACCACAGAGCTTGGAGGAGCCAGGGATCCGGATTCGTTGGCGCCTCTTGCCAGGAGCAAAGGAGAGGGACTGAGAGAGCAGAGCCCATGAGCCTGGTGGCTACTTTGACACCTGACTGACCCCAGGCTTGGCTAGAGCTGGCCCTTCTTAAGGTCTTTGTTGGATCCCTCTGGGGATGGGTCAGATGGATTGGACTTTGTCTTTTTTTTTTTTTTTAAAATAAAATTGACGTTATATTGCTGAGACTTGTCACTGGCCCTCTTTAAGCGTGAGATGGGGAGGGGAGGACAACATATTCATTGTACGTTCTGTACCCAACAAACTGCCAGAGTATCAGAGAATCAGAACCAGAGTAGGGTGGTGGTGGCGCACGCCTTTAATCCCAGCACTCAGGAGGCAGAGAGGCAGGCTGATCTCTGTGGGTTCTAGGCCAGCCTGGTCTACAGAGTGAGTTCCAGGACAGCCAGGGTTATACAGAGAAACCCTGTCTCGGGGTAAAAAAAAAAGAAGAAGAATCAGAACCAGGTCTGCCCCAGCTGCTTCCATGGTTCTACTGCCTGGAGGATAAAGGCCCAGAACCCCCTGGGCCTTTCTGTTTCCTACATGGCCACCAAGAGTGGGAGCCTGGTGGTCCGGTTGTTAAGGAAAATGCCTAAAACCACAAAAGTTCCTCTTCATAGTGGCCCTTACCTTCCCAGCCCTCCCACCAAGGACTCTGCAGTTTTGGGTGAACCAGGCTGAGGCACTAGAAGTTGGGGAATGAGGAGGGTATGGACCTCTTCTATGGGAGGCACTGTTCGAAGCAGGCTCTTCACACATCAGTCCCCCCAAAGGAGACCCCTCCTCCCCCTCATCAGCAGCACCTTTATCCACAGTCTGATTCCCCGAAATCTAAAATAGGAAAGGGAAAATTCTAGAAATGAGCGGTTGTAAAGTTGTGAGTATGTGCACTGGGTTGAGTGGGGTGTGCAGTGTGGCCGTTGTCCAGAGTGTCTGTCCTTAGTTTCAGAGCAGCTGGTGCTGGAGCAGGATTTGTGTTCAAGTAACCAGCCTTTTTTTATTCAATAATGGCTCCCAAAGAAGTTGTCCTCTGACCTTTATACACATCTGTGTCCTGTGTATATCCCCTTACACACACACACACACAGGCTAGCCTAGGCTCTAAGCTATAGTGAGACCCTGTCTCTGGCTTCCATGGACACCAGCTACACACAGAGATAGATGTGGACAAAACACCCTATACATAGACATGTAACAATAAGTGAAAGTGGGCACGGACGTGCCTGCTTGTACTGTCTGCCCTCGGGTGCGGGGCAGAGGCAGCTGGAGATTGGCATGAGTTTGAAGGCGGCCTGGGCTGTCTGCTGAGTCCTGGCCAGTCTGGAAATGAGACCCCGCCCCACATAAAACAAAACAGCCTCATCGACAGGGCTCTGGGGTCCTCTACATTCCCTCTTGTCGAAAAGCAGCCATAAAAGCTGGGCGGTGGTGGCACACACCTTTAATCCCAGCACTTGGGAGGCAGAGGCTGGTGGCTCTCTCAAGGCCAGGCTGGTCTACAGAGTGAGTTCCAGGACAGCCAGGGTTACATAAAAACAAAACCAAACAAAACTAAAAACTAAAATAAAAAGTTGGGCGTGGGAATGGTGGTGCACACCGTTAATTCCAGCACTAGGTGGCAGAGGCAGGCGAATCTCTATACTTGATGCCACTTTGGTCTACAGAGCTGTTTCAGGATAGCAAAGGTTACATAGACCTTGTCAAAAAAAAAAAGCTAAAAATTAAGTGAAACTTAAAGAAAGAAAGGAAGGGAGGAAATGGAGCCATAATCTGAGGGAAGCAGACTGGAAGACTGAGGAATTCACACAGGCTATGGCGGATGCAGAGACAGGACAGTTGCTGGTCTGTACAGGTAGCCTGTGCCTAGGGCCAAGCTGTCACATGCCCAGGGCTTTAACTTGTGCCAGACAGGGACTAGAGATGGGACAGAAGTCTAGAGGACAAGGAGGAACACTTGTTTGGCTCTCTCTTCCTGCCGCTCCACTCTCCTTCCAGTCCCTGGTGACCTTTACTCCAGATCCCAGGGTCAGGCCGCCTAGCCAGCAGCAGCTGGGATTGGCCCGAGCCAGAGGAGGTGTGGCCAGACTCCCACAGCCCCAGTGTGCTGAACAACAGGTGGAGTTCCAAGACACACCACGGGCCTCCAGTCACCGACAAGATCTGTCCTCTAGACATGGCACTGGGCCCCCTCGGTCCCCAGGCCTGCGGCCACTCATGGGTGCAGACAGCCTAGACACGGCCACCTATGGCCTGTGTTTTGGCTGATCCAAGCACAGATGGCTCCTGCCACGGATGCAGGGGATATGGTGACCCCAACTGTGGACCTGGTGCTAGGTGCCTCAGCCTGCTGCCTGGCGTGCGTGTTCACCAATCCCTTGGAAGTGGTAAAGACTCGTCTACAACTGCAGGGGGAACTGCAGGCCCCGGGCACTTACCCGCGGCCCTACCAGGGCCTTGTGTCTTCTGCTGCAGCCATTGCCCGGGCAGATGGCCTTTGGGGCCTGCAGAAGGGGCTGACGGCTGGCCTTCTCTACCAGGGCCTCATGAATGGTGTCCGCTTCTACTGCTATAACCTGGCATGCCAGGCTGGCTTCACCCAGCAACCAGGGGGGACTGTGGTCGCAGGTGCTGTGGCTGGGGCACTGGGAGCCTTTGTGGGAAGTCCTGCTTACCTGGTGAGTTCTCTGTGGCCCTGGGTTGGGCGGGGCAGGCTGGGAGGAGATTGTTTCATAGGACTATCAGGCTCATATCTGGAATCTGCCCTTGCTCAGACAACCCTTGCTCTTTTGGGGCCCATGCCCACTGGTCTTAGCCAGGAGACGGAGCAGGCTATGGAGGAGGTAGACCCTAGTCATTTGCTTGTGATTAGTTCTGCATAGCCTGGCATATGGTAGGAGTAAAAGCTTCAGCTGAGTGTGAGCTGTTACGTCCTGATCTGGCCACTGAAGTACTACTCTGTCCTTGAGAGAGGGGTAGGACAGAGGCCCAAAGAGCTACTGAAGAAGCTTGAAGCCAATGGTGTTAGAACATGCCTTTAATCCTAACACTCGGGAGGCAGAGGCAGGTGGATCTCTGTGAGTTCGAGGCCAGCCTGGTCTTCAGAGTGAGTTCCAGAACAGCCAGGGTTACACAGAGAAACCCTCTCAAAAGAGAACCAAAATAAATAAGTGAACTCGAACCTACTGAGACAGCCCCCAAGCTTCAGGTGTGAACTGAGGGATACCATACAGGAGAGGGGCTCAACCGTGCCCAGCTCATTTCCCAGTCTCTACCCTAAAGCCCCTCCCCCCATCTGCTCTGGACTCCCAGGTCAAGACCCAGCTGCAGGCCCAGACAGTGGCTGCTATGGCCGTGGGGCATCAGCACCAGCATCAGGTAAAACATCTCCCCAGAACCCTGGGCTCCAGGCTGTGCAGGACTGCGGATCTCTAGTGACCCACACCCTTTCTTCCCTGCAGAGCGTCCTGGGTGCCTTGGAGACCATCTGGCGCCAGCAGGGCCTACTGGGGCTGTGGCGGGGTGTGGGCGGGGCTGTGCCCCGAGTCACTGTGGGCTCAGCTGCCCAGCTGGCCACCTTTGCATCCGCTAAGGCTTGGGTACAGGAGCAACAGGTAAGGGGCTGGGGACGCTGTCCAGACAGGGAGTGGGAGGGCCCGTGCCTCTTTCACACACACGGGTGGTGACAGATGGGGTCTAGAATAAAGCCTGGTCTTGCTGAACGTGGTAAGACACATTTCCATTTCCTAAGACTTGGGGTGTTGAGGGAGGGGATCAAGAATCTTAAGGTGGTCCTCAGCTACTCAGGGTTTAAAGTCAGTCTAGGCTACTTACATGAGACCCTGTCAAAAGAGAGGAAGACAGGGGAAGGGAGGAAGGAGAGAAGGAGGGGGAGACAGAAGGAAGAGAGAAGTCATGGGAGGGAGGTGAGAGATGGAGGAAGGAGAGGGGAGTCACAGCTAAAGACAATGTTTCTCAGCTGTAATCTCAGCACTTAGAAGGTGGAGGCAGGAGGATTACAATTGGAGCACAGCCTGCTGCATAGCAAGACCTGTCTCAACAAACAGAAACAGAAGCCGGGGAGGAGGGAGGAGGAGATAGGGAAGGGAGGAGGAAAATAAAGTTGTTGGCTCTGCCACTATAGTTGTGTCCTAGCCCTTCTGTCCAACAGGAGCTGGGGGTCATCAGTGAACCCTGAAACCATGGAGGGACACAGGGTTGGTGTTGGGGGCTGGGAATGGCTGGAGAGGTCTGATTTGCTCACCTACCCAAAGCCATCCAGCCCTGGTGGGCTTGGGGCAGGGAGAGCCCAGCACGGGTGAGCGGAGGGGCAGTGGGCGGGGTCAACAGCCTGATCCATCCCCACAGTGGTTTCTGGAGGGCAGCTGGCTGGTGGCCCTGGCTGGAGGCGTGATTAGCAGTGTAACTGTGGCTGCAGTCATGGCTCCCTTCGACGTGGTCAGCACTCGACTATACAACCAACCGGTGGACAGAGCTGGCAGGGTGAGCAGGGGACAAGGAAATGTAGGCCGTGGGGCGATGGGACACACACACACACACCATATTCACAACACGGTAGCATGCATGTCCTAAGTCCTCTGACTGGATCTTATTCTATTTCCTGATGAGGAAATCAGCTCAGAGAGGTCAAGTGGAGGCTACCGAGAGGGTCAGCGGGAGGGGCGGGATCAGAATCATGGCCTTCCTGTGCTAATGCCTGTGGGAAGTGTCAGGACAAAGATGACGGAGTGGGCTCTCCAAGCTGCACCCCTGCAGGAGGCTGTCTGCCTGAGGGACAGGGCCCTGCTAACACAGCAATGTATAATCCGCCCAGGCCGTAGGACTGGGTGTTCCTTCTGACCCCACCGCTGGACACCCTTGTTTGTGTCACCTGGGACCTCTCAACTCTTGAGGTGACCCTCACCCTATGTTTATCCCCAGGGCCAGCTGTACGGGGGCCTCGCTGACTGCCTGGTGAAGATCTGCCAGCAGGAGGGGCCCCTAGCACTCTACAAGGGCCTAGGCCTTGCCTATCTGCGCCTGGGCCCCCACACCATCCTTAGCATGTTCTTCTGGGATGAGCTGCGGAAGCTGGCCACAAGGACCCAGCACCAGGGCACCTAGCCTTGTCCCTCATCCTACCACCAAGCCCGGCATTTGGTGGAAGCGATGGTCGGCTTCAGTAG